AAAAAAAAAAAAAAAAAAAAAAAAAAACCAGAGAGTTAACTGCTTAAACCTATAAGTAATAGAAGAATCCTGATTAAAGTAGCATTCTTGGAGGAAAGGAGGGATGGTGAAGATTGTAGTTTTAGCTAATAACTTATACATAAGTAAGGCTTAGAAATTCACTATACAAATTCTTGATTAGGAACTTTGTTACAAACAGAAGTATATTCCAGGATAGAACCTAGTAAACATACAGGTTTATGTTGGACATTCTAAAAGCTATTCTTAGTTTACTGTCATTGAAAGAGTAAATTTAACAAATGTATATGGTTTTTATTAATATATATTTTTAAAATATCTATTTTTAGGAAATTAGAATAATTCAATTAAATGTTAGAAATGCAAAACTCAGTATATTCTTATGTATTCATTCAATTTGTTCTTCCTACAAATAGTTATCAAGGGTCTTTTGGGTATTAAATAGTGGAGATACAAAAAAGTTAACTGATTAATGATAACTTGATAGTTTCACAGTAGTGTACTTTATAATTTTGATTTATCAGAATAACTTTTAAGGTATAAAAGAATATCATTGGAACAATGTAATAATAGAAATATTTTAATATAGAGTGAAACTCCTCTCTTAGATTTGGCTTTCTGTTTTGTTTTGTTTTGTTTTCCTGTGGCTTTTTAAATTTTCCTTATTTATAGGGAGAATGCAGCTATAAATTGGAAGTTGAATCTTATTTACAAATGGAAGATGTTAGCTCAACATTTATTGCTCCCAGGAATGAATCTAGTAATCTTGCCAATGACACCTTTATCACTCACAAGAAATCGTCATTTATAAAGAACATAAATCAAAGCAGTTCATCCTCAGTGATAGAATCTGATGAAGAATGTGCTGAAATTTTTAAACAAACTCATATCAAACCTACTAAAATTGTTTCTTTAAAGAAAAAAGTGTCTAAAGAAATAAAAAAAGATCAGTTTAAAAAAGAAAATAATCACGGGATTATAGACTCTTTAGATACTGACAGAAATTCTACTGTTGAAAATATTTTTCAAGAGGACCTACCAAATGATAAAAGGACATCAGATACAGATGAAGTTGCTGCCACATGTACTATTAATGAAAATGTTATTAAAGAGCCACGTGTATTATTAACCGAGTGTCAGTTTACAAACAAATCCACTAGTTCATTTGCTGGAAATGTTTTAGATTCTGGTTATAACAGTTTCAGTGATGAAAAATCTGTTTCATCTAACTTATTTCTTCCATTCGAAGAAGAGCTTTATATTGTTAGAACAGATGATCAATTTTATAATTGTCACTCATTGACAAAAGAGGTACTAGCTAATGTAGAGAGATTTTTATCTCATTCTCCTCCGCCTCTCAGTGGACTCTCAAACTTGGAATATGAAATTGCTAAGGGTACTGCACTTGAGAATTTGCTTTTCTTACCCTGTACAGAGCATTTACAAAGGGATAAATGCACCTGTTTGATGTCACATTCAGCTGTGAATTCTCAGCAGAATTTAGAATTGAATTCACTTAAATGTATAAATTATCCGTCTGAAAAAAGTTGTCTTTATGATATACCTAATGATAATATTTCTGATGAGCCAAGCCGCTGTGACTGTGATGTATATAAACATAATCAAAATGAAAATTTAGTACCTTACAATCGTGTTCAAATACACAGAGGCCCTGCACAGAGTTTAGTTGGAGAGAACAATCATGATGTTGATAACAGTGACCTCCCAGTATTGTCCGCTGATCAAGATGAAAGTTTACTATTATTTGAAGATGTTAATACAGAATTTGATGATGTAAGTCTTGCACCCTTGAACAGTAAAAGCAAATCTTTACGTGTGTCAGACAAAACTGCTATTAGTGAAATACCTCTGGTCTCTCAGTTCTTAATTTCTGATGAACTTTTGTTGGACAATAATTCTGAACCCCAAGATCAAATCACCCGTGATGATAATAGTTTTAAATCTCATGATGATCTGAGAAGTGTACGGGAAGAAAAAATGAAGAATCATGAGGATATTTTTGATTGCTCTGTGGATTTATTTTCTGTTACCTTTGATTTAGGATTCTGTAGTCCAGATTCTGATGATGAAATATTGGAACATACATCAGATAGCAGTAGACCTCTAGATAATCTATATGGAAGGTATTTGGAAACTAAGGAGATAAATGATGCAAATTATGTTTCAAATCAAGCACTAATACCAAGAGATCATAGCAAAAATTTTACTAGCGGAACCGTTATTATCCCGTCAAATGAAGATATGCAGAATCCAAATTGTGTACATTTGCCACTGAGTGCAGCAAAAAATGAAGAATTGTTATCTCCTGGTTATTCTCAGTTTTCTTTACCAGTGCAAGAAAAAGTTATGAGTATACCACTCTCTGAATCAAACACATTAAACTCATTTTCTAAGATAGGAAAGGAAATACTTAAGACACCAGATTCTAATAAGGGAAAAATGAATCTACAAAGATTCAAAGAAGCATTGAATTCAACTTTTGATTATTCAGAATTTTCTCTAGAAAAGTCTAAAAGCAGTGGTCAAATGTATCTGCATAAATCCTGTCATTCTCTTCAAGGTAAGATTCCATCTTTATAAAATCTATAACTCTAGAATAATTACTCTAGAAATACTTTGGTAATTTTTCCAAATGTAATTTTTTAGTACATGGTAGAATATAAATATTGAATTAGATAATTGTTGTGTTATATTTTTCTTAAGGTGATCTTACTAATATTAGATTTATTTTATTTATGTATACTTATGGCATGCATGGTATGGAAAAGGGTATTCTTGCTAGACATTATGAAATACACGAAGATGTGTAAGATCTGGCTATGTCTTGGTTGTAAAACATAATTATGTGACATATTTATATGTATTTGAAAAGATGCCAGTAAAATGTGGAAATAACCACCAAATGAATAATAAGAGAGTGACTGTTTAGGAGGTTCAGAGGATGATGAAATTTTGAGTTTGATTAGATTGGAAATTTTTTTTTTTTTTTTTGAGATGGAGTTTTGCTCTTGTTGCCCAGGCTGGAGTGCATGGTGTGGTCTCGGCTTACTGCAACCTCCGCCTCCCGGGTTCAAGTGATTTTCCTGCCTCAGCCTCCCAAGTAGCTGGGATTATAGGCACCCACCATCATGCCCGGCTAAGTTTTGTATTTTTAATAGAGACGGGGTTTCACCATGTTGGACAAGCTGATCTGGAACTCCTGACCTCAGGTGATCCACCCGCCTCACCCTCCCAAAGTGCTGGGATTACAGGTGTGAGCCACTGCGCCTGGCTAAGGTTTTATATATAGTGTAGATTTTCATTTTGGTTCCTTGAGAGTATTTATGCTTTTGGTATGTTGAAGATACTAAAGATATAATTTAGGTGTTATAAAATGATGAAAGCGAAGGGAAAGAAGGCAAGTATGATTTTGAGAGATAGTTTGAAGTAATAGTTTTATGTAGCAAAATATTTGAGAAATAAAAACTGTATTCAGATGATTAAGACCAGACCACAAAAAAACAGAGAAATCTCTGGGTTTCTGTATTCTAACCATTACACTTACAGGAAAACTAGAAGATATAGTGATAGATGTTTGATATGAAGTCCTGCTGTATAATACAACTCTACAGATTATTATATCAAGTCATTTATGAATTTTACTCCTTATGTTAAAAGCTGAATAAAAAGTAACTGTAGGATAAGAGGAAAGTTTCCTCTGTAAATCTTTTCCTTACGTTATTCTCATTAGCATGGAGGACATGGTTCGTGAATGTTCTATTTAAGATGAAAGCATGTTGGAAGTAAGTTCTGGAAATACGTTTAATTTTCAAAACCTGACTATTCTATATAGTCTGGGGTTGTGCCATGACATATATATTTTTACAAAGTTTATGATGCCTGTGAGCCTTCAATATTTGCTTTAATACCTCTATTGAAGTCCATGTTAATGAGTGAGATAATTTTTCTGGTTTTGTGTCAGATTTGCACAAAAACATTTTTTCTAGGATTATACTTAACTACAAATCGTGGGCAAAATAATTACAAATACAAATACAAATCAGGAAATTATTTATTAGAGAACATTTAATAAATAGAGATAATAACTATTTTTATTCTACTTATTTCAAAGAGAGAATTTAAGCTCATTTTTCTCTATTATATATGAAAAACATAGTTGATTAAAACATCATGAAAGCACTGAAAAGGAAAGCTTCCTAGAATTGAGTTGGTTACTGTAGCCGAGTCCTGCATTTAACTCTGACTTTCTTAGAAGGTAATGAAAAAAGAAAAATTAGTTGATTTATATATTGCTCATCTGCAAAAAGGAAATCACTCAAGTTTGTCTGTCTGGGTAGATGTTTTAGTAGCAGAATATGAGGAGAAATTTACTGAGTAGTTTTGTATTTGTTATCTATTGCTGTTTAACAAAGTACCCCCAAAAAACTCAGTGGCCTGAAATAATCAGTAAAATAAAATAAACTTCTTAGAAGGCCTGTTGTTTGAGAGGATCTGTGAGGAGCTTCTTTAAAATCCTTAATGGGCCTGGTGCAGTGACTCATGCCTGTAATCCCAGCACTTTGGAAGGCTGAGGCGGGTGGATCACCTGAGGTCAGGAGTTTGAGACCAGCCTGGCCAACATGATGACACTTCGTCTCTACTAAAAAGACAAAAATTAGCCAGGCATCGTGGCGCATTCCTGTAGTCCCAGCTACTCCGGAGGCTGAGGCAGGAGGATCGCTTGAACCTGGGAGGCAGAGGTTCCAGTGAGCCGAGATCGCACCATCGCACTCCAGCCTGGGCAACAAAGTAAGACTCTGTCTATAAATAAATAAATAAATAAAAATAAAATCCTTACTCTCTGACTAAATGGTACTGTAAGGCACAATCTTTGATTTTTTTTTTTTTTTTTTTTTTTTTTGAGACAGAGTCTCGCTCTGTCGCCCAGACTGGAGTGTGGTAGTGCGATCTCGGCTCACTGCAACCTCCACCTCCCGGGTTCACGCCATTCTCCTGCCTCAGCCTCCCGAGTAGCTGGGACTACAGGCGCCCGCCACCGTGCCCGGCTAATTTTTTGTATTTTTAAATTAGAGACGGGGTTTCACCATGTTAGCCAGGATGGTCTCGATCTCCTAATCTCGTGATCCGCCCTCCTCGGCCTCCCAAAGTGCTGGGATTATAGGAGTGAGCCACCACGCCCAGCAATCTTTGATTTTTAAGTAGGTCTTAACAAAGGATTTAAACTACACCCTCAGCTCACCCTCAGCTTCATAATATATTCCTGGCTGTCCTCTAGGTTTGATCTTTGCCTAGAAAATTTCTTAATTTTAGCATTGTTTGCCATCAGGAGAGGCTGGGAGTTTTCACAATCAGCAAATTCTAATTATGTTTGTCCTTAATGTCTTTCTTTTTGCATTTTGCTCTTATAGCAAAAAGCAACATTTTGTCTGGAAGTCTTAGCTAGATTACCTCTCATGGATTAGGTACATTTTTCCTTTTTTTTTTTGAGACAGTCTCACTCTGTCGCCCAGGCTGGAGTGCAATAGCACAATCTTGGCTCACCGCAAACTCTGCCTCCCAGGTTCAAGCAATTCTCTTGCCTCAGCCTCCCAAGTAGCTGGGTCTACAGTTGCCTGCCACCACACCTGACTAATTTTTGTATTTTTAGTAGAGATGGGGTTTCACCATATTGGCCAGCCTGGTCTCAGACTCCTGACCATGTGATCTGCCTGCCTCGTCCTCCCAAAGTGCTGGGATTACAGGTGTTAGCCACTGCACCTGGCCCATTTTTTCCTTTTCGTGCTAACTGCAATGATGCCAAATTTTCTGGTACTACATTAAAGGATTTAAGGTTTTTCCTACTTTTCTTTAAGCCCTCACCCACCCTTTCCTCATTGGCCAACTAACTTTCCTACAATTTGAGGCTCTTCAAGCCTTCCTTCACTAAAACTCTCAAAGTCCTTTCAGCATCTAACCACTATCTAATTCCAAAGCGACTTTCCCAGTTTAGGTTTTTGTTATGGCAACTCCCTATTTCCAGGTACCAGAATCTGTATTATTTATCTATTGCTGCATAGCAAGCTGCCTGCAAAACTTAATGATGTAAAATAACCCCTTGTTACCTCAAGGTTTCTGTACAACAGGAGTTTAGGTGTGGTTTAGCTGAGTGGTTCTGGCGTAGGATATTTCATGAGGTAATAGTCAAGACATTGGCCAGGGCTGCAGTTATCTGAAAGCTTGAACAGCTTTGGAGGATCTGCTTTTAAGATGGCTCAGTCATACTGCTGTTAGTAGGAGACCTTGGTTTCTTGCCATGTGGACCTCTTCGTAGGGTGGTTTGATAACTGGGTTTTTGTTTTTGTTTTTTTCCCCCAGACAGGGTCTTGCTCTGTCACTCAGGCTAGATTGTAGTGGTGCAATCACGACTCACTGCCACCTCCATCTCTTGGGCTCAAGCAGTCCTCCTGCCTCAGCCACTGGGACTACAGGCACTTGCCACCACACCCAGCCAATTATTATATTTTTTATAGAGACAGGGTTCTATGATGTTGCTCAGGCTGATCTCAAACTCCTGGGCTCAAGTGGTCTGCCTCCTTGGCCTCCCAAAGTGCTGGGATTACAAGCGTGAGCCACCACTCCTGGCCTGGAATGGTCATAGAACATAGCATCTGACTTCTCCCAGTGCAAGTGATGCAAGAGAGAAAGCAAAAATGAAGCCACAATACCTTTTATGACCTAAACTCATAAGTCATACACCTTCATTTTCATTATATCCTTTTTTTAGAAGCAAGTCACTAAGTCTGGCCCACACAGTTCTAGTTACATTTTGTATTGTATTGTATCTCACCAGTTTTTATTTCATACACACAAATATGTATGGAAAACACATATATAACAAAGAATCTTTTAATGTATTGTTTTGTAGCTTGCTTATGCTTTAACTTTTTCAAGTAGAAAGGGAATAAGACACAAAGGGCAGAAAGACTGCAGTAGATTTTAGAGATAAATTCTATTAATAGAACCAGTGACTAATGAAATTACATTTTTGTGTTTTTCTGGCCTCATTACAGTTAATTTATAAAACTGAACTTCATTCAAATATGTGTTTATTAGCAAAAGACATTGTTCTATTTTCTTCACTGGCATTTTAATTTTTTTGTCTCTTATTTAGATTTTTGTTCAAAGTTCTCAAAGACCATATTTTTTTGAAAGTGAGTAAATGTTGAGATTGCCTGAAATAATTCTTAATGTAGCCATCAATAAAATAGATTGTTATGATTGGGTAAACCTAAATCTATTAACCCTTCATTATTTTAAAAAATAAATTATAGATGGACAATTATTAACAAGTAATGAAAGTGAAGATGATGAGATTTTCCGAAGAAAAGTTAAAAAAGCAAAAGGAAATGTTTTAAACTCTCCTGAGGTGAGTCATTCAGTAATCACCATAGTATAATCGTATCAAAGGCTATTTTCCTTCTATACCTTGGGCTTCTGCTGAGACTTTTGTTACCTTTTACTTTATTTACTTACTTTAGGATCAGAAAAATAGTGAAGTTGATTCTCCACTTCATGCTGTCAAAAAGCGCAGATTTCCTATAAACAGAGTAAGTAAATAGCAGATAATGTTTAATAATCCAAATTCCTTTGGAATAAAAATTTTGTGAAAAATTTATGTGTAGATAAATATAGGTATTTTAATCCTTAGTAGAAAAGTTGATATTCTATTGTATGTGATTGGAATTTCTAGCTTCTGCTAGTTTTCAAAGATGTATTCACTGTAAACTTTCCTAAGCACAATAAATAAAAATATTAAGTAATTTTAGACTCTTTAAAAACCATCCTATTTTTGTCCGTACACTTGAGCAATTTGGCAAGCATTCATTAAATACCTACTATGTCTCTACTGTGTAAGATGCTGGACATACTCTAAAGAATATATCCTAATACTGTCATAAGTTACCCAATAGGAGAGATAGAGAAATAAACATAATTTCAGTATAATTTTTAAAGTTGAGTGATAAGAATAGTTAAGTCCTTAACCTCGATCTTGGGAGTTCTGGCAAGCTTCTTGAACTAAGGTTTAACCTTAGTTAAACCTTAAACTGTGTTTGGCAATGAGGCCAAAGAAGGGGGAAGAGAAGGCATTGTTTACAGAATAACAGCTTAAAGGAAGACGCAAAGGTGAGAAATGACATCTCTATGTTATTAGATTGTAAAGACAAAAGAGTTTCAAGAAGTAAAACCGGAGAAAAATCAAGGTCAAGTGTTAGAAGTGCTTATTCTTTCATTTGATTACTGAATGAGTTTGAAAGAAGGAAAGGAAGGAGTCGAGCATGACTCTGGTTTTTAGCTTTTTGGCAAGTGTGTCACAGATTTAGGCTAAACAAGAAAGAGATGGTAAGTTAAGTGTTGAACAGGTTTGAATTTGAAGTTCCTGTGGGATAGTAAAGTCACAGTGTCTAGCAGGCATTGATGACTGTGAATCTGAAGTTTGAGTATATGGGCAGGTCTTAAGGTTAATGATACTCACCAGTTATAGCTGATAGCTAAATTTTGAGATTAGCAACTCATGTTTTAAATCTCAAATATGGTCTAGGATAATTTGTGTAAAATTACAGGTGCTCCTCAACTTACAATAGAGTTGGATCCTGATACACACATCATAAATTGAAAACATTGTATGTTGAAAATGCATTTAATACACCTAATCTTCTGAATATCATAGCTTAGCCTAGCCTACCTTAAACGTGTTCAGAACACTTATGTTTGGTCAAAATCATCTAACACAAAGCATATTTTATAATAAAATGTTGAGTATCTCATGTAATTTATTAATACTGTACTGAAAGTGAAGAACAGAATGTTTGTATAGGCACTTGAAATTTGGTTTCTACTGCATGCATATCACTTTTGCACTATGGAGAGGTCGAAAAATCATAACTTGAACCATTGTGAGTTGGGGACCATATGTAATTAAAAATACAGCCAGTCTGTATTAACTTTGGTACTCATATAAGACTTCACTAGAAAAACAACTTGCTACCTTAACTAGAAGATCTGATTGACTTATCAGAAATGATTTAAAATATTGATAATGCTGATGATCAGTTTGTTTTAAACTAAATTTATTCCTGTTAATTGAACTGATTTTGATAAACTTGATTCTTATGACTGGTTTTACATTATCCTATAAGAGATATGGTGATAGGCCTCATAGTCAAAACTTGTTATTGTTTTATTGGTTTCTTGGTTTCAAAGGATTCCTATATTTGGACTGATTTTGATGGCCAAATGTATAGGCTTGTTCTTTTTGAAGCCCTTGAACATCTTCTGAAGGAAATACTGTTAAACTAAAGGTATCAGTTTTCTAAGTCACCATAGTGTTTGCAGAAAAAATTAAAATTAAAATTAAAAGTATGTTTTCATCAAATCTGTTTGATGTAATACTATATTGGATGAATACCTATACTAGTATTACTTATAACCTAATTTAGTATTTCATATTACCTAAATTATTTACTTTTACATTCTTAAGTATTTATAACATAATTATTTTGTATTTATAACATGGCTCTGAGTTGTGAGAGCGATTTTACTTGTGTAGGAAGAAATTATTTTTTTCTTATGCAAGAATTTTGTTGAATTATTATAGTCAGAACTGTCATCTAGTGATGAGAGTGAGAATTTTTCCAAACCATGTTCACAATTGGAAGACTTCAGGGTTTGTAACAGGAATGCCAGAAGAGGCATCAGAGTCCGAAAGAGACAGAGTCACTTAAAGGTAATCTTTTTTTTAGTTTCTTTAAAAATGTATGTATTTTATCAGTAAAGATAATTGGTTTTACATCAATGTAGATTTCTCTATACATTCTTTTTATAGAAAAAAAATTTAAGTATTTTGACACCCATTTAGTTTTTTTTTACTGGAATTAAATTCAACGTGTAGTTTTTTTTTGTTTTTCTTTGTGTCTTGATGCTTTATCTTTCAGTGTTGTGTTACTTTGAATGAATACCAAAAAACTCAAGTGTATTGAGAATTTATGTTTCAAATTGAAGAAAATATAGAATTAGAAATTTGAGTTTTAAGATACTTGCTTTTGTTATCAGTATATTGTTTTTCTTATTTCTATCCAATTTTCAAATACTTGGAAAATGTTCTCAGTACCTTTCCTTCCTGATTAAATTCTTTTGTGGTGCAGTAATTTTCTTGAAAGAGCTGGAAGACTCAAGAAATTTTATGCTTATTAAGAAATATCAAGCAGGCTGGGCAGGGTGGCTGATGCCTGTAATCACACCACTTTGGGAGGCTGAGGCAGGTGGATCACCTGAGGTCAGGAGTCTGAGACCAACCTGGCCAACCTGGTGAAACCCTGTCTCTACTAAAAATACAAAAATTAGCTGGGCATGATGGCATGTGCCTGTCATCCGAGCTACTCGGGGGTCTAAGGCAGGATAATCTCTTGAACCGAGAGG